AGTCCGGGGTCCTGTGCAGACATTTGAATCAGCCACCGTCGTGCTGAAAGCTGCCCTGGCAGCCAGGCTCTCGATCTCAGAGGCCTATGTCCCTCGTCCTGGGAGACTGGCACAAGGCCAGGAGTCCCCCTCTTCCCCTCCCCCAGCTGGCTGGCTCACCCCCTCGGAGACTTACATCCTGGTTGGTCATGTCCCAGTAGGGCCGCTCTCCGTAGGACATCACCTCCCACATGACGATGCCGTAGCTCCACACGTCGCTGGCCGAGGTGAACTTCCGGTACTGGATGGCTTCTGGGGCTGTCCAACGGATGGGGATCTTCCCCCCCTGGGGGGAAGAGGGGAGGGTTTATGGGTAGGAGGCTGACCTGCCTGACCTCTTCTCTCAATACTACCCTCTCTGTGCCCTGTGCTGCAGCAATCTCATGATGCACGTTATTGTTCTCCAGACTCACTGTGCTGCTTCGGACCACTGGGCATTTGCACATGCTGTGCCCTCCACATAAAGTGCCTCTTCCCACTCCACCATCTGGAAACCTCCTCCTCATGCCTAAAGCCTTTCCCTAGCTCCCAAAGAGTTCTTCACTCTCCTTACTCCCACATCTGAGCCTCATGTCTCCCCATCAAGGCTTGTCTCATACGGCACAGCTCTGAAACTAATTGCCTGTGGGGAACCTGTGGCCTTCTGATTTCAGAATTGTTCTTTGTTAAGTGCTGAAGGGGGCAAGAAAAGCTTCATCTTCCTCTGCCGCACCCCTTTTAATAAAAGGATTGTTCTTTAAAATTTGGATTCAGTCAAAAGGCCGCACTTAAGGATCTAGAAGCCCACAGGCTCCCCAAGGCTGCAGCCCCCCCCCCCCCCCCAGCAGCGGCTCTCAGCTCTTTGTGTTTTATTTCTTTCCATTTAAAACCCTTCAACAACCGAAACTGTTTTCAGGAGTGAGTGTGGGCGTTCAAGGCCCTCTAAGATCTGGCCCTGCCCACCTCTCCAGCACAGGTGCTCACCGCCTCCCCCTTACAGCTTGAACCCAGGCACGGGACCTGCCCCGAGAACACGGCATCTGAGACACTTTTACTGGCCCTTCGGCTCTCGGCTCAGGTGTCACCCGCTCTGGCCAGCCGCCTTCTGCCTCCAAGGCTGGCTGCCCTGGCTCATTGCCCCGTCACTCCCGTACTTCCGTGTTCCCCACCAGCCTGGGAGCTCCGAGAGGGCAGGATGTCTCTCTGTGTCTCCAGGGCCCAGCATGGTGCTTGGCACAAGCAGGGGTCAGTGACAATGTACTGGAGGGATGGATGGACATTTATGTCCTTTTTTCTAGGGCTGTGACTCCTGTAGTCCCTGCCTCCGTCTTACCAGGGCACTGGTGTAAGTGGGGTCTGAGGTATCATCCTCCAGAAAGCGTGAGAGCCCGAAGTCAGACACCTTGCAGACCAGGTTGCTGTTGACGAGGATGTTGCGGGCGGCCAGGTCGCGGTGCACGTAGTTCATGTCTGCCAGGTACTTCATGCCGGCCGCGATGCCCCGCAGCATGCCCACCAGCTGGATGACTGTGAACTGCCCATCGTTTTGCTTGGGGAGAAGTGGAGAAAACACAGAGTAAACGGAAGAGCCGGCACCAGAGCTCTGGATCATCTTTGCAATGGGGAACCGGAGCAGTACCCTGCCAACCTGGCTTTGGGCTCCCTTCGGGAAGGACTCAGATGCCTGGGCACCTTGGAGAGGCCACCATCAGGGTGGTGGAGAGAACACGGGCTTTGAAGAAGACACACCTGGTTTGACTTTGTCTCTGCCCCTTCCTGGCTGTGTGACCTAGGACATGAGACCTAACCTCTCTGAGTCTGTTTCCTCATCTCTGTGTTAAATGGGGTAATATGCACCTCCCATGGCTGTTCAGAGTTAAACAAGAAGGTACATGGCACATAGTAGGTACTTTTACTGAATGACAGCCAGTCCAGTGGCCTGCTTCTGACAGTCCAGTGCTCTCTGTCTAGCTGGTTGACAGTCCAGTGCTCTCTGTCTAGCTGGTTGACTGTGATTTCCTGGGGGCAGCCTTAGAACTTTCCTCTGTTGGCCTAGTGCTCTGAACTCCTCCCCCCACAGCCTACACAGCTTTGGGGAAGTCCAAAATCTGGCAGAAACTCCCAGTGAGGGGTCAAGACAGCTGGTTCCAGTCTAAGCTCTCACCTTGATCCTCTAGGTGACCCTGGGCAAATCCTACCTCTCTTTGAGCCTGTTTTCTTCTGTGCATAATGAGAAGGCTGGCTAAGGGCGTGGATGGAAACAGATTTCAGGTTGTGTGCCAACTCTGATTGACTGGTGTGGCTTCCTGGGGAACCATATTGGGAAGCATTCTGAGATTGCTTCTGGGCTTAGTGGAAGAGAGTGCTAGGATTGATTAGCAATGCCTGCCATGGGTAGGGGAATGGAAAGTGACAGCCTGTAAACCATTCCTGACCCAGCACTTTCCAAGACCTGTTCAGGCTCTGACAGTATGAAAATATGTCCACAATTCCTTTTGGACTGCCCTGACTCATGGGCCCCTGGCTTCCCCTACCCGGAGGAAGGAGTCCAGGGAGCCGTTCTCCATGAACTCAGTGATGATCATCACAGGTGTGCTCTTGGTGACGACACCCTCCAGGTGGATGACGTTCGGGTGGTCGAACTGGCCCATAATGGAGGCCTCGCTCAGGAAGTCCCGGCGCTGCTTCTCGGTGTAGCCCGACTTGAGCGTCTTGATGGCCACGAAGATCTCTCTCTTGCCTGGCAGCTTCAGGTGGCCGCTGCAGACCTCACCAAACTCCCCTGGGACAGGTACACCGAGGGAGGCAGAATGTCACTTGCCAGGTGGAAGTGCCACCTACCTGTTCCCTGTCTTCCATTCCTGGGGCCTGCTGGTGCTCTTTCTCCCCAATGGTCAACTCACCCCGCAGACACAGAACCCCTTTGAGAATGTGGGGGCCAGAAAAGCCCCAGCCACCTTTGGGAGTAGAGAGTATTAATGAATTCTTCAGGGTTGCCCCACAGTATCTGTCTGGGGAACCTGGGGAGAGGGGGACGGGCCCCTGGGATCAATGGCAGGAAGAAGGAAAAGCACTGGACAGAGTCCAGAGAACTAGGCTCCAGACCCAAACCAATCTCTGACTTGCTGTGCAAGCCACTTCCTCCTGTGCCTCAGTTTCCCCTTCTGTTGGTGAGGTGACCTTTTGGGGCCCTTCTTCCTTGGGCATTCTGAGCCTTCAGGTCTTGAAGGGTCCCTGGAGGCCCCTGTCCCACATCCTACCCTCTGTCCCAGGAGTACACACTGGGGTGGTCTACTTGTGGTTGAGGCCATGGAACCTATGTGGGTACCAGCCACCTACCTGCTCCGATCACTTGCTCAATCTTGACACAGGAGATGTCAATTTCCTTGGCAAACTCCCGCACCGCCTCATTGGGGTCTTCATAGGTGAAAGGGTCGATGTAGATCTTCATGCCTGGGGTCACTAGGGGACAAGACCAGGCTTGGTCACTGATGGACTTAAGATGTGCACAGATGGAAAAGTGGGAGCCAGTCACTCCACAGAGGGAAATCCACTTCCATGTGGCCCCCACAAGGAACTGGGCAACCCCCCTGCAGGTGGCTTGACCTTTCTGGGCCTCACTGAGCTGAGCAGATGGGAGAGGGGGTCAGAGAGGCCAGCAGGGTGGCACATGGGTTCTGGCTCTTGTTCCAGCTCTAACTGTTGGTAAAAGGCTTTCTGGGCATCAGAGAGGCGGCCAGGACTGATAAGCAAAGTCTGTTATGGGCGTGGGCGTAGAAGGGTGAAAGGGTGGGTAGGTTTTCTGCCCTGTGGTAGAGAATCAAGGGGTGCAAAGTAAGGGAAGAGGAAGGCGAAAACGAAGAGAGAGAACCGGAAGTAAATGACCGGAAGAGGAAACAGTAGGCAACAGACCATGTTGTTCTTGGGGTCCGGCCAAGGAGACCACCTGTCTCTCCAGGTGTAATTCACGCCTCCCCTCCCAGGGGAGTCCTTCCTGGCAGCCCGGCTCCCAGGCAGGCCCCACAGCCTGAGGGGCCACCTCACTCACAGGGGCTGAGGACCCATGGTTCCTGGGGTTCCTCCCAAGTCCCCTACTCTTAACCCTTTCTGGTCCCTGATTCCCTGGCGATCAGCATGAGGCTAGACATGGGGCATATTAATTTGATTCCTAACTAGATGTAGATTTTTATCTTTTGGTGTAGATAGAGAAGATGCAACCTGGATGTCAAAAACTCAATTCTGACCTGGCATTGAATCAGCAAAATGCTTTGAAGGAAGGGAACCCAAACATATTCCTCCTTCCAGATGGATAACCGGTCTTCCACCGCCCAGGCCTTTCCTCGGCTTCTCCAGGCCCCTGCTCACGTTCTCCCACTGCTCCAGAAGCTGTGACTTTGGAGGAAGCAGCTCTAGGAGTTGGGAACAGGAATCCCTGGGTCACCATAAAGCTTGGCTGGTTGGTGAGTGGGGCCATCAACCCTGCTCAGCTGTGTGACCTTGGACATGTGAGTTGACCTCTATGTCGGACATTCTGGGGATCTAGGAATTGGAGCCTCTAACACACGGGCTGGCAAATTGGCTTACTGCCTGTTTTGTAAATAAAGTTTTATTGGAACACGCCATGCTCATTCCTTTGCCTATGGCTGTTTTCATGCTACAACAGCAGAGTTGAATAGTTACAACAGAGACCCAGAAAGCCTGAAATATTTATGATCTGGCCCCCTATAGAAACGTTTGCCAAGTGCTGCTCTAACACATCAGCTTTATTTGGGATTATTTGTGTGGGTGTTTGTCTAGCCCTTGAGGTCACGGGTTCTTAATTTGGGTCTATGAGCCAAGTTGGCATTCCCGGGAAGGGTTTTGGGAGGTCTGGTAACCTCCTGAAATGGAATGCATTTGATATTACTGCCTTCCTGGACTCAAAAAGTAATTCATCCTCCTTCTAAATAAAAAAATTATAGAAATAAATATTGCCAAAAATAAAAGTTATTAAAAATCCATCCCTAAGTATAGACATCTGGATTTTTCTATCTTAAAATTTTATGCATACACACGTAGAAATGATTGTGTTTTCCTGGTCACAGGCTCTAAAATTCTCAGCAGAGTCTCCCAGGAGTCTGAGACCCCAAAGAGATATGAAGGACCATGCAAGACTGAGTTCCTGGAGGAGAGGGGTGGGTGCGTGATCTTTTCTCCTTTCTCCCTCGCTGGCACGCTGCATAAAGCCCTGCACACGACAGACACTCGGTGTCTGTGGAGCTGAGCAGAATCCAGATGGCAGAGAGAATAATAACAGCATCAGCTGTCACTCCCTGAGCCCTTTGTCTGTGCCCGACACGGTGCCAGGCTCTTACACGCTTTATCTCATCTCCTCTGTCCCCACAACTCTTGGAGAAAAGGGTAATTATTCCCATTTTACATATAAGGAAACTGTGGCTCAGAGAGGCTAAGTCATCTGGCCAAGGCCACACAGCTAGCAAATGGAACAGCCAGGCTTTGAACCCAGGTCTGTCGGACTGGAGCCCAGGTTCTTAGTGGCCATGCTCACTGCCTCCTGGATGAAATACAACCAGGATCTGGTCTGCGTCTCCGCCTGGAGTATTCAGCCTTGACTGCCTCCTTTCCCGAGTCAGTAACCTCAGAGCCGGAGGATCCGCTCCCCGGGGATGCTCTCTTTCTTGCACAGACTCAATGCACGGCCTGTGGTTCTCAGCGCCTGGCTTTCTGCCCCAACAGAACTGGGGGAGGCCTCTTCTGTCTGGCCAGCCAGGTAGGGAGGGCAGGGGTGGGTCAACAGGGAGGTAGGGGAAGCGCAGCAGGAGCTCAAAGCCATCTTGATCACCGCTGCTCCCAACCAGATAGTCGCCATCCCCAAGCCGTGGCCAGGAGCACTGGTCAGGTGGGCTCGTCACCACTTACAGGGCAAAGGCAAGTGCCTCTGCCCGGCATTCCCAGCTCCCTGGGACTGGCCTCATGTCCAGCTCCCTGCCCTCCACACACCAGCTAAAAGGACTTATTTACCTAGGGGTTCCAGACACACTTCACAGTTTCTTGCCTCTGTGCTTTTGTTCATGTTGTTCTCTCCACTTGTCGCATCCTCTCCTCTTCCTCTTTGTGACCAGATCACATACCATCTCCTCTGGGAGGCCTGCCTGGATTCCTCCAGTAGAGACCTGTGCCCTCTGTTCAGGCTCCTGTAGCCCTGGCCCCACTCTTACAGCCCTGATGTCGCTGTGGCTTTTCCACCTTGTGCTAGGTCTCCCAGGGGCCTGCCTGCAGCCCCCCTCCGCTGCTCCTTTCTGCAATACTCTGCTGCGGGCTTGCTTTACCTTCTCCCTTCTCCGGGTCTGTCTTGTTCATGCTGAATCCCAGGAAATGGCATACAGAGGATGCTCAATAAATGCTTATTCAATGAATAATAGCATTTTTCTCATTTATGTACCTACTTTCTCTCTTTCCACCTGTTTGGGGTCATGAATACCTTCGAGAATTTGATGAAAGCTACATGTCTGCTCCTTGGGAAGGTATTCCCATGTGTGTATGCACCTATATTCCACCTGTAATTTTGGGGTGTTCACAGGCCCTTGGAAGCTCTAGGGGTCTATAAGCCCCAAGTTATGAGCGCTTGCTCTAGAATGCTGGCTCTGGAGTACAAACGTGAAGGTGATATATAGTAGATGCTTAGTAAACACTTACTGAATGTATGTTCAGTGTGGATTCACTAGGTACCAGGCCCTGTTCTAGGTATTTTATCGTTTTGGATCCAATCACTCCTCCTAACAACCCTACTAGGTAAGTGCTATTATCAGGCGGAACCTTATGAAATTGTCAATATTTGTTTCTGACATACAAAAATAGCAATTTCATTTGGTACAACCCAATATTACCTGTATTTTTCAGATGAGGAAACCGTGGCATAAGAAATGTTACATGATCTACCCATGGGGACATAAACCCAGCTCATAATGGCAGAAGTGGGGTTTGAACCTAGGCTGGCTGCAGAGTCTCCACTTGTAACCACCAGGCTGCAGTTTCTTCTGGGCCCTTCCCCCGTCTGTCTCCTGGGACAGGGGCTGAGCTGCTCCTGGCCAGAGCTTCACACAGGCCCTGGCTCCCAGGGTGAATTTGCTGCACTGAGGTTGGATCGGGACCTGCAGGCAGAGTCTACAGGAATACCCGGCTGTTGCTTGGATGACTTATGCCTGTCACAGCCACTGACTGTCGTCCTGAACTCAAAGGGGAAATTCACGATGAGGAAAGAGGACCCAGGTATGCAGAGTCCCGAGTTTGAATTCTGGTTCTCCTGCTGCTAATGCTCACAAAAAAGCTGCTTTGTGAGTTTGAATCCGGGATCGATCACTGTGGGATCCAGCTGTGTGCCCTTGGGCAGGTCACTCGACCTCTGTGCCTCACTTTTTTCACCCACCAAATGGGTATAATAAACAGTACCTATCGCATAAGGGGACTGCAAGGGTTAAGTGAGCATATCTTGTTCAAGGGTTTAGTATAGCAGTTGGCAAATAGAAAGCACTGAATAATTGTTACCTGTTGCAAACAAGACCTGTCTATTACTAAATATCATTATTACAAAGCACTTGAATATCCCTTACTCCTCACGACCCTGTGAAGGAAGTATCATTCTCGCTACTGCCCACATAAAGATGCCAAAGCTCAGAGGTTTGATGACTTCCCTGAGGTCACCCAGCCGGCCAGTGGCAGAGCAGGGATGAGAAACCAGGTCAGTCCCTCTGGCGCCACATCCGGGCACCAAAGACCGTGGTACTCACTCAGCACCTGCTGAGCAATGGAAAGCACGAGACCGTGTGGGTGACTCCAAGCCAATCACACACGTCTCTGGGCCTCAGCTTCCTGCTCTGTCCCGGCCACGCAGGGGTGCTGGGCGGCACACAGGGTTGGCAGCACTTTGAAAAGAACAAAGCCCTGCTCAGATCTAATGCTGTGGCTCAGGGTGCAGGGAGTGGGAATTCAGGCTTTAAAATGTGTTGATCTATGAACAAATCCTGGGGTTTATTTTTAAAATAAATCTCACCTATTTTCTTATTACTGACCCACGCTCCAAATAACAATGCTCCCCAATGGCTCCAGGTGACGGAGCACGTGAGCCTATCTTGTTCTAGCTCAGTGGAGTGTAGACAGCATGGGGCAGCTAAGAGTGTGCGCTCTGGGGCCAGATAGCCGGGTTCACACCCTGGCTCCTTCCTGAGCAGCTGTGCAACCTCTGTGCCTCAGTTTCCTCATACTCAAAGTGGGGAAGTATGAGGATGAAATGCATAAATACACATAAAGCATGAAGACGATTCTTGGCACATAGAATGTACTCAGCATATCTAGCTATATTCATGGTCATGATTTTCTTACTTGGGGAGTACGAGGAGGGGACAGGATTTATGACTTTTATTTTTAACCTACAGGTGATTTTTATTTCGGTGCAGTTAAATATGTCCACCTTTTTCTCCCGAACTTTCCATTGCTGTTATGCTTAGAAAGTCCTTTTCCATTTCCATATCCATTAAATAAGTTACCTAAATTATCTTCTAGAAATTTTAATGGTTTAATTATTTTTGCATGTATGTCCGAAACTATTTTTAAACCCAGGAAATTTTGCTTTGGAGCAAGTCTAACCCGGAGGCTTAATATCTAGAACTCCCTGACCCTGCTCTTTTTTGCATACCTCACATCCAATCCTGCAGCAAATCTAGAGGCTCTGTCCTCAAAATATGTCAGAATCCAATGCCTGCCACCATCTCCGCTGCTGCCACTTGGTCTGGTCACTGTCACATATTCCCTGGATCATTCCAACAGCTACTTCACTGGGCTTCCTGTGTCAGCCCCTTCGGTCCCTTTTCCATACAGCAGCCAGAGAAGTGCTACCAAGACTGGAACTCAGAGCATGCCGGCTCTGCTCAGAACCTGCTGGCAGCTCCCCGTTTCACTCAAGGAAGAGCCAAAGCCCGGCCAAGGCTGGCAGGAATCTGCATGTCGGGCTACCTCATAGCTACCCCACCGCCCTGTTCACTCTGTTCCAGTCACACTGGCCCCTTTGCTGTTCCTGGAACCCGACAGGCACGCTCCAGCCTCCTCCAGCCTCAGGGCCATTGCACCAGCTGTTCCGCCTGCCTGGAATGCTCTTCCCTGGGATACCTCAGAGCAGCTCACTCCCCCAGCTCCTTTGTCTCTTTGTTCAGATAAAACCCTTCCGATGAGCCAGCAACCCCGACTCCCACAACTCTCAGTCCGTTACCTGTTCCACTGTGCCCCTCTCCACGGCACTTTCATCTTCCAACACGCTACATGCTTTATGAATTTATGACATGTATTTTTTATTCCCCGTCTCCCCTTACTAAATCTAAGTTCTTCAAAGGCCGGGACATTTGGTCTGTTTGCTCAGGCATCCCCAGCCCCTAGAACAGGACCTGGCACACATAGTAGACCTACAGATGTGTGACAATTGCAGGGATATGACGATGGCCTTCCTTGCCTGGGGGCAGCCACCTGAGGAACCCCTGAGGTGCCTCACTGAGTACAGTTTGAGAACCTGCATTGGACCATTCCGAATTTCTTTCTGTTGAATCAGCCGAAGTAAGGACTAGGCTCCCCCAGCCCCGAACTCTTACTCCTCGATTGCTAGTTCAGCCAAGGTCAAGTGGAGAGAGGAACCTGTGGTCTACTTCTCCCTCTGGCCCTTCAGGAGGGGCGCCTGCTTTGGGGGCGTGTGTGGCACGTACACCCCCAGGCCTGGCCTGACACAGGAGGGGACAGTGGGGAAATGGGGCACGGGGTGGGGGGAAGCGGCCACCAGTGGAGTCCCCGCGGAGGAACGGGGCAGGGGCTGGAGCCAAGGAGAGGAAGGGAGGGAGGAAGGGCTCCCGCTGCCTTTCCCTCGGGCCTCCAGGGCCAGAGCCTGGGGTCCTCACTGTCTCATTCATTCGTTCAATTCGATTCATTTATTTATTCTGCGAATGTGTATCCAGCGCCTGCTACGCGCCGGGCACCGTGCTGGTGCCGGGAGGCAGTCCGGACGTCAGGCACAGTTCCAGGGCTGCAGGGGGCTGCCACGGTGGCAGGGAGACGAGGAAATGCCGCCACAGGTGGCCGGGCCAGCGGGGCTGTGCATGCACAGCTGGGGCCTAAAGCCGGGTGGGGTGGGGTCAGGGCTCTCGGAGGGCTGTGAGGGATGAGGGTGCCTACGGGCCGCGCAGGGGAAGGGAACAGAGCGGTGCGCCAGGCGCAGGCACGGCAGTGCCAGGGCCGAGAGGCCAGCGAGCCTGGCTCATGTCAGTCTGGCTGCAGCACGGGAGGAGGAGGTAAGAGATGGCTCTGGAGGTCCTGGGGAACTGACAGGGAGGGGCCCAAGGGAGCCAGCCCGCTGGGGTGTGTACGTACTGTGGCCACTGGTGTAGTGCTGCAGCTTGTCCGTGTACTCCGAGTCGGCACGCTCGAACCCCCGTCTTCTGGAACAAGAGCAAAGGGCTGGAGCCACCTGGAGGCACCCAGGGAGCTGGGAGCCACAGTAGGTGACAGGGAGAGAGTGGGCAGACCCTGGAAGCCATGCCCCTTCCAGAGGGCTCCCTGCCTGCCCCTTCTGGCCCTACCTGTCCCTTCTGACCTGTCCTGCCTCAAGTCCAGGCTCACTCTTGCTCCCTCCCCTCTCCAGCCACGCCCCTTGCAAAGAGCACAGTTATGTTCCAGGCCTGGCTCCGGCCCTGAAGCCCCGGGCCTTCTGTCCATCTGTCCATCTGGCCTTCGGGTCTGGTCTGAGTGGGGAACTCAGTAAGGGAGAGAGTCTCTTTTTGCTCTGTGCCCAGCGGAAGTCAGGGAACTGGCCCCACACTCTTGCCTAGCTTGTGCTGTGCAGGCCACTTGGGAGCCTTTCCCCGCCTCCTGACTCAGCCCTCCCCCCTTTCCAGCAGCCTGGCCAGGGGGCCTGAACACGCACAGAAAGCGGGGTGCTCTGTACTCCCCTGCGGCCAGCCCCGAAGCTCCCAGCACCCTGCAGTCCCCCTTGCCCACTGTTCTGAGACATTCCTTCGTGCTGAGTGTCAGTGTCTCAGTGCTACCCCTCGGGACGGTGGGCTTGTCAAAGGGGGGAACTTTTAGGCAATGAGAGGCCACTCGATCTGAGTCTCTCCCTGCCCCTGATGATCCTGGGAATGCCCCTTCTGTCCCCCCACTGTTCCGGAATGGCCGAATGGATGGAGAGAGCCTGCCTTGGACAGCCAGGCCTGGAGCAGGCCGGGGCCCCCACCCACCTGTTACACACGATGGCGATGACAACCACGGCAATGAGGAAGACCAGGCCAGCGGCCGAGGAGCCGATGATGAGTGGCAGCTTCTCCTGGATGCTTGTCTGGTACTCGGCTGGGGAGAGAGCACAGCGGGGTGTTCTCAGCCCGGCTCTGGGAGTCCCAACACCTGCCCCCACCTCCCCAGGTCCTGCTGGGTCTCCTGGGATCCCCAGGCTCTACTCCTGTCCCCGACAGAGCACCTGCCACATGCCCGTGTGGAGACCGGGCTGTCACTCACTCACAAGTAACCTTGGACGAACTGCTCCAACCCTCAATTTCTCATCTATAAAATGGGCGTAATAATACCCGCATCTCGATGTTGGTGTGAAAACCAACAGTGGCAATAGCTGATACACACAGAGGCAGGGACAAATGCAGACTGGAGCCAGCCCCCTGGCTGTGAGTCCCGATGGCGTCACTTACTGTCTGTGTGAACTCTTTGTGCCTCAATTTCCTTATCTGTAAAATGGGCAGAATACTAGTTCTCCTCTCCTAGGATTGCTGTGTAAAGCACTTAGAACAACACCTGGCATCTAGCAAGCACTCAATAAATATGAACTATTACTGTTACTGTTTCATGTGACAATCACTGTGCTAAGTATGTTACGTATCTTGTTTGAGTCTCAGAACAGTCCCATGATGTACTTCCTATGCACACCTCATCTTGCAGATGAGGAAACTGAGCTTAGTGAGGTCGTGATTGGCCTCAGGTCACGCACACTTAGGAAGTGGCCCCAAAGCCAGCACTTGAACCCGGGTCTGCTGGGGATTGACCCAAAGCTGGGATTTAAATGAGATGATGCATAAGGTGCACTTGGCATTGGCCTGGCTCTTTGAAACCACTCGGTCCATTCTCAATGCCATTGCCACCATCGTCATTTTAAATTTCATTACTTTCACTTCTGATCTGCCCCCTGACCGTACCGGGAGCGTGTCAAGGTCAGGGACAAGGTCAGCTCTGGGTCCTTAGCACCTACACACGGTGTGGCAAACGGCAGGGCCCCGGCACACATTTGCTGAATTAATAAAGAAGAGATCTTGGAAGAGGCCCCCAGTTCCCAGGGCTTAGACAGGAGGAAACAGCTGGCCACGGGGAAGAGGGAGATTTTACAAAGGAGGTGAGTGCTGGAGGAGACGGCGGAGCCCTGGGGAGGATTTCTGGGATAAGACAAGAATTCAGGAGCCTCTGAAATGTTCAACCAGATGAAGGCCAAGGCCCGTGCCCAGTGGCTGTCCGCAGATGCTGGGAATCTGGTCACAGGTAAAGCTGCCCTGGAGCTTGGCTGGCTGGTGAAAGGGCTCCCAGACTCATAGCAGTGACAGCATGACATAACTGTGACTTGGTGAGTGCTAACTGTGTGTGGGACCTAGTGCTCCCCCTGTGCTAGGTCCCTCATTTTATACTAGTTGGATAATGACAGTGATGATGAGATTGTTGTTGTCGCCCCCATTTACGGATGAAAAAACTGAGGGTCGTAGAAGTAAGGTGACTTATTCGGGGCCACATAGTTAGGGCTGAATCAGTAATGGAACTCCCATCTGTCTGGCTTCAGAGCTTATACTCCTTAAATTATGCTGGTCCTTCAAGATTATTAGAGCAGGAATGGCGCTTAGAGACCATGTGGTCCCAGAGAGGGAAACACAAAGCACATGGGCTGCAACCTCCCATTCCCTTGCCTAGAGCAGACATTACTAATCCATCCCAGCAGTTCTTCCTGCTGAACTCAGACAGGGCTTCAGAATCCTTCTCAATCCAACTGCAAGTCTTTGGAGTTGTGTATGGAGAAAATATGTTCACTCTCTCAGACTGAATACGACGCTTTCCTTTTATAGATGAGAAAAATTTGGAGCAGGGAATGGGAGTGACTTGCTCAGTGTGGTTCTGCAAGTTAGAGCTGAGCCCCCCCCAGAATCCTGGCTGACACGATGGCCACGGAGGAGTCCCCATCTTTTCTGGGCCACAGAAACAAGCCCCTCTCTATGGCTGTGCAGTCTGTACTGTGCACAAAAGTCTGCAGCCAGGAGGGAGGGAGGTCCCACGTCTAGAGGAGGGGGTGCCTTTTCTGATCTGCACGAAGGCGCTTCGTAGGAATGGTGGCCCTCGAGTTTGCTCTGCGTGTGGAGTCAGTGCCCTGCTCTTGCCCGCCGGGCTCTGCTCACCTTCTGTCATGGTCTGGAAGTACATCTTGCCACTGTAGCGCCCATAGCCCGCCACGGTGCGCGCCCGCACCTGGAAGACATAGATGGCGCCGGCTTTGAGGCCCTGCACAGTGGCCGTGTTGGTGGGGCTTTTTATGGCTGTGGCGTTGTACTCACTGAGCTCCTGCTGAGGGACAGAGAACGAGGTTAGTGAGGTGGTTGCCCACGGTGGCCCGGAGCCCAATGCCCGCTCCTGCCGCGTTGGGGGCACGTCCGGTCACTCGATGCACATCTGTGCTTCCTAATACTTCACTCCCTCCCTGTGACAGAATCCCACGCCCGTGCCTTTTGCCCGGCGACTTGGCAACGCTTCCCACCAAAGTAGGCAGAGTACATTTCCCTGCCTCGTGGATGTTGGATTTGTCCACGTGACTTGTGCTGGCCACTGGAATGTTCTAGCAGACACGACCCAACCAGGGGCTTTGCGTGTGCCTGTGGTTTGGCTTGGCCTCTTGTGCTTCTGCCGTCTGCCCTGGGTAACAGCTGGCTCTAGAATGACAGACACGTGGAGACCCTGACCCAACTCCTAGGCTGGAACAGGGCCACCCCAGTTGACTCACAGACAGAAACCCCTGAGCAAGAAAAGTAGCCACTTGTTGTGACAAGCTATTGGATCTGGGGGGACTGTTTTGCAGCGTTATCTTGGTGACAGCTGACTGACACACACGTATCGAGTGGTCACTGTGTGCAGACCCTGAGGACTAGACTGTGAGTTCCTGGAGACCGCAGGGAGAGGGCACACCTCATTCAGGTCTGCATGCCCCTCCCTGCCCCTCCCTGTTTAACTCTTGATGAGTTAAATGGAAGGACGCCCTCTCATCCTCAGCACACATGTGTGAAGCAAGAACTAAGGCCCAGAAATGGAAAGTGATGCTCAAAGTCACACGTATCAGTTGGTGGCTGCTTTGGGACTCAACACCAGGCTCTTGCATGGAGCCACTCCTAACGTCCACACCTTTGGGTACCCGGAACTAATGGGTACTAAGGGTACTAATGTCCCTAAGTACCCTTTGGGTACTAAGGGAACTAATGTCCCTTCTTTTGCAAGATGAAGAACACTAATCCTGGCCTCCCCAGTACTGCCTAGGGTCACCGTGGGTCTGGGCCGGGACAAAGACCCAGCTGCTGTGGTGACAGTGACATGGTTGGGTTGGATACCGATGATGCTCGTTCGGGCACCTGTCAGCCACCTGGCAGACCTTTCTCAAAGACCCTTTTTGTACTAGGCCTGAGCCAGGCACTGGGGTCCCACAGGGAACAGGCCCTGGCCTTGGGGAGCCCAGTTCGGGAAAGCAAGCAGCATGGGGATCCCAATCCTTTGAAGATCATGACACTCTGATGCTGAGAAGCTGATGAAAATCTGTGAACTCTTATCCAGAAACACACACATAATCATCACGCCGAGCATGTACCTATCATGGGGCACACAGAGCCCGTGAAAACCCTCCTGAACATTAAAGCTCAGTGTGAGTGATGCCGTTACAGGCATCATAGTGCAGAGGTTGAGGTCACACACTGGAGCCAGACTCCTGGCTTCAAGTCCTGGCTCACTGCTTATTACCTCTGCGACCTTGGGTGAGCTCCTTAACATCTATGTCTTCATCCATAAAATGGGGCTAGGAATAGGAGCCGCCTCAAAGCGCTCTTTAGAGGATACGATAAATCGATATGTACAAAACGCTCACACTGGCAGGGTAAGCACAGTGGGCCTGTGACCTGGTCTGGGTGGGGGCCATCAGGTGAAGCTGGGGAGAGCTCCCTGGCAAGAGAGGGGCACTGGACTGGAATCTTAAAGAACAAATAGGGCTGGGTGTGATCCAAGGCAGGAGGATTGCTTGAGGCCAGGAGTTCTAGACCAGACTGGGCAACATAGCAAGACCCCCATCTCTACAGGAAAATAAAATAATAGTTGGGTATGGTGGTGAGCACCTGTAGTCCTAGTCACTCAGGAGGCTGATCTGGGAGGGTCACTTGAGCCAGATCATAGCTCACTCAAGGCTGCAGTGAGCTATGATCATGCCATTGCATTCTGACCTGGGTGAAATAGCAATACCCTGTTTTTTTCTTTACTTTTTTTAAAAAAAGGACAAGTAGGAGTCACCCAGGCAAAGAAAGGTATTCCTGACACAAGGAGCAGCAGGTTCAAAGGCAAGGAGGTGAGAAGAAGCTTGGGATGGGGGGGGCTAGAGAGGGGACTGACCTGCGAGTGTGTCTCCCCACCCCCACACTGGGGGAGGCAGGGATGGCTGGTGTGGGGCAGCAGCAGACAGGAAATCCCTTTTGCTGCGACAGACCACCTGCCCCCTCCTCCAGGAAGCCTCCTTGACTTCCCAGCCAGATGTGTCTCTCCCTTCCCTGAGCCCAGAGCACTTGCTGGGGGTGTTGTAGTGGGAGGTTCCTGCCACGTCCCCTCACCTGGGGCGGAGGCTCCTCTTGCGCCCTGGACTGTAGGCTCACGAGGGAGGGCCATGCCCAACCCCCTGTACCAGGCACAGGGCCCTGCAGAGTCCCTCCCGATGCCCACGGGCGGAGGCTGACCCCTTAGCCTGGCAGTCCAGACCGGGCATGGCATGCCCTCTGCCAGGCTGTCCTGCCACGTCCGCAGTGTCCTTTGGGCTCCAGCCATCCCCAGCTCCCTCCCCTCGCTTGGCAGGGCTGCCGGATTTAGAAATTAAAATTCAGGATGCTGCTCAGTTAAATTTAAATTTCAGATCAATGACAAATAATTTCTAGTATAAATATACCCCACGAAACATTTGGGGCACACTTATACTAAAAATAAATTTTTTAAAATTTAAATTTAATCTCACGTTCTGCATTTTATCTTGCAACCCTACCTTTCCTGGACACTCTGAGCTTTTGCGAGCACTGTTGCCACTGTCTGAAATACCCTTTGCTCACCTGTCTGGCGGTTCCCTACTCGTCATTCAAGGCTCAGCACAAGTGCCACCTCTGCTGGGGACACTTCCCAGATGTCCCAGCCAGGGGCTGCAGGTCTGCTGTCTCCTCTCCCACTGACTGTTCTGATGATGTGGGTTCCCTGAGAGCAGGGACCATGTCTTGTTCATCTCTGGACCCCCAGGCTTGGCACACAGTAGGTGCTCACTAACTACTCACATAATGAATGAACATTAAACCAGTCTTCAAAAAAAAAAAAAAAATTTTCCAAACCTTGGGTTGCGTTCTCGGCTTTGCCCCCCGGTTGCGGTTTTCCACCTTTTTTTTTGTTTTGGTTTGCTTGGGGTTTGGTTTTTGGGCCTTGGGCGGTTGCCCCCCCGGGGTTGTTGAGGTTTTTGTTTTCTTGTTCTTCCGGGGGCCTTGGGAGTTATTTGTTGTTGCCTTGGTTGCTTGGGGGGCTTGGGGACCCCCTTTTTGCGGTGCCTTTTTTTAAGGGGGGTGCAGCAGAGCAGAGGATTGAAGCTCTGTCCTGTGACCCGCCCAGTTCTTCCCCTCAACTGCACTGTGACCGTGGGGAAGACCCCTCACTCCCTTGATCCCCTGTTTTCTATCCCGGAAAATGGAACAATAAACGCCAATCTCTAGGGCTGTCGTGAAGATCAAGTTCGACCAGGTAGTGCCCGGCACGCTGGAGAAGCTCTGGAGACACCAGTTCCCTCCGGCTCCTGTCTCTGGAGTGCCTTTGCCGCAGCAGTGATTAAACACCAAGGGGCGACGGGAGCAAACTCAGCATGAGATCTGCCAGTCAGCCGCAGTCTCAGCCCTTGCCTGGGACTTAGGGCCAGTGAGGCGCTGGGTACGTGCCTTAAGCCTTCCGAGCCTCAGTTTGCTCATCTCTAAAGTGGGATCGCACCAGTAGGTATCACACGGGGTGGTTGTGGGGACTCAGTAGCAAAATAGGGGTAAGGCTTTCAGCACAGGCTTTAGCACACGTAAGGACCTAATAAACGCTGGCTATCACCATCATCGTCACCATCAACACCTGATCAAGCAAGCCCTCACCGGTGTTCACTAAATGGATGAATGAATGCAAAAGTGAATGAATGAGTGGACAGACCTGTCCAGGTTGGTCCTGCTCCAGGGATGCCGGGCACCAACCTGAATACAGCCCAGACTGTCTGGGTTCACCACTCTCACCCCAGCTTTGCTCCCTCTGCCTGGGATGTCCTAACTCTGCACTTCTACCCATAGACATTTCTGTTGAATAAACGCTGAAATCCACGTGGCCCACAAGAGCCCATCGACCACAGGCGGCCTTACGAGTGACTCTTCTCCCGGAGCTCTTGGGGGGCCAAGGGGAGCCAGAGCCTGTGTGCTTGGGGGTAGCTGCCAAAGGAGGCCACCTCCCCCAGGACGCCGGAGCCGACGGAAACAGCCAGCCCCGGGTCTGCAGCGAGGCCAACGCCAGGAGCCTTCCGGCAAAGTGACAGTCAGCCCTGGGCAGGCTGGGAAATCCCGGTGGAGCTGGGGAGAGGCCAAACGGAGAGCCCTGCTCCCAAAGAGCCCTTTCTAACGGAGGCAGGAGGAGCGGGAAGGAGGTGGGGGGGCCCAGGCGGGCTCGCAGGGCTCAGTACCCAACGCCCCTTCCTAGAAGCCTGGAGCGCAGGGAAGGCATGAATGGCAGCGCCGGGAGGACTCCTGCCGTAGGTGGGAGCCGCTGTGGACGCGTCAGAATAAATCTCCCACGTGCAGCCTGGCTGCTCCTCCCTGATGGAGGGGTCAGAGGTGGTGGCCGGGACGTCACGGCCTTGTGTGAGAGGTCACGGACAGAAACCGCTCCTAGTCCTCCTTCCCCCCCCTGCCTGCACCTCCCCTGGCACTTCCATCAGCTCTGCTTCCTCTGCTCGGTCACCCTCTGCACACTGCCCGGCTGCTCCTAGCTGCCCGCCCTGACGCCCTGCCCCCACCAACCCCAGCGAGCACCTGACAAGTCGCAAACGCACATCTGCCCCAGGAAAAGGAGCCCTATCCTCCGGGAGTCGCCTTCACATCTCCCTGGTCCCCTGGCCTCTAAAATATTGCATCTGTCGGTGCCTTGCTGTCTCTGCTGCCAACACCCCTGGCCCATGCCACCATCGATTCTCACTTGGTGTCCCATGACGGCCCACCACAGGGTCTCCTTGGAGCTCCAGGTCCCCGGCAGTCTATTCTCCGCACAGCAAACTACAGGGATCTTTAAAGCAATCTGAGTCAGACTGCATCATTCTAGAACTTTCCCAACACACTGTAAATCGAATCCAGACTTCCAAGGCTGGAAGGCGCACCACAACCCGGCCCTGCCTCCCTCTCCTGCCTCCTCCCCTGCTGCTCCCCCTTGCTCATGTTGTGCTTGCCACACTTGCCTTCTCTGTGCCCTGAGTGCAGCCTGCACATCCCTGCCCCAGGGCCTTTGAACATGCTGCTCCTCCTGCCCAGAATGACTGCCGGCATCACAGGTCTGTCTGCCGAACTCCTGGCATCTTTCAAGGATCAGCTCAAACGTCACCGAGTGAAGACTTCCCCTCACCCACGCCAGGATTGCAGGCCCCCTGTTGGTACCCCCGTGGGACCTTTGTGGGCCTCTTTGTGGCAGCGTCACACCTTGTCTCATGGCTGTCAGTTTCTGAGCCTGTCTTTTTCCCTGGACTGTCAAGTCCTCTGGGCCATCTGGTCGCTCTCTATATCCCCAGTACCCAGCCTATGGCCAGGCCCAAAGCTGGTGACAGTGAAAGTCGAGTGAACTGGTGTCCACCTCCCCCGGCAGATGCCACGCTGTCCCCTCTGCACCCCAGGCCCTGGGGGAGGCGCTGGCAGAGTGAGGCCATGTCTCATCATGGCTGTCCCTCAGCCCGCCGTGCCCTCAGCCCTGCTCCTCTTGCTCTGTCAGAATCTTTAGGGTCCCCAATCTATGCTTAAAATTCTCCATGTCCAGGCCTGGTCCTGTCTACTCTTAACAGTCATTCCAGAAAAAACTGGGAAAACACTGGGAGGCAGAAGAGCCAGGCCAAGAGCAAGAGCACAGGTCCAAATCCTTGCTGGGCACTCCCGGAGAAGTCACATAACTTCCCTGTGCCTCAGTTTCCCCTCCACTCAGTGGGGTGAAGAGGATGGATGAGAATGCGGTCCTGTGACCCGCCCAGTTCTTCCCCTCAACTGCACTGTGACCGTGGGGAAGACCCCTCACTCCCTTGATCCCCTGTTTTCTATCCCGGAAAATGGAACAATAAACGCCAATCTCTAGGGCTGTCGTGAAGATCAAGTTCGACCAGGTAGTGCCCGGCACGCTGGAGAAGCTCTGGAGACACCAGTTCCCTCCGGCTCCTGTCTCTGGAGTGCCTTTGCCGCAGCAGTGATTAAACACCAAGGGGCGACGGGAGCAAACTCAGCATGAGATCTGCCAGTCAGCCGCAGTCTCAGCCCTTGCCTGGGACTTAGGGCCAGTGAGGCGCTGGGTACGTGCCTTAAGCCTTCCGAGCCTCAGTTTGCTCATCTCTAAAGTGGGATCGCACCAGTAGGTATCACACGGGGTGGTTGTGGGGACTCAGTAGCAAAATAGGGGTAAGGCTTTCAGCACAGGCTTTAGCACACGTAAGGACCTAATAAACGCTGGCTATCACCATCATCGTCACCATCAACACCTGATCAAGCAAGCCCTCGCCGATGTTCACTAAATGGATGAATGAATGCAAAAGTGAATGAATGAGTGGACAGACCTGTCCAGGTTGGTCCTGCTCCAGGGATGCCGGGCACCAACCTGAATACAGCCCAGACTGTCTGGGTTCACCACTCTCACCCCAGCTTTGCTCCCTCTGCCTGGGATGTCCTAACCCTGCACTTCTACCCATAGACATTTCTGTTGAATAAACGCTGAAATCCACGTGGCCCACAAGAGCCCATCGACCACAGGCGGCCTTA